TTGACTTTGCTGCTGCCTGTCGTCTAGACTTCGCTGCCAGTCTTGTTGCTGAGTCTGAGTATGTCTGTCCTCCGTCCTTCGGGGGTGAGTGTGCTCTTAGCACGGACGTCCTTGAGGACAGGCACGAGGACCTTGAGTGTCTTGCAGCCGCTGCGCCTCATCTCGTGGCCATGCTGCTTGCCCCTGAGGGAGACCCGGATGCACCAGACATCCCGACCCCGCGCTCTTACGCTAAGGCGATCGCGGGTGAGTACTCCTCTCAGTGGCAGACAGCCATGGACACAGAGATGGCATCCTGGAAGTCCACAGGCACTTACGTCGATGAGGTTCCCCCTCCTGGGACGAACATCGTCGATGGCATGTGGATTTTCAGGGTGAAGCGGCCGTCGGGTTCTCCGCCTGTCTTCAAGGCTCGTTACGTTGCTCGAGGCTTCAGTCAGCGAGAGGGAGTTGACTTCTTCCAGACCTTCTCCCCCACCCCGAAGATGACCACTCTTCGGATGCTGCTGCACGTTGCCGCTCAGCGTGACTACGAGCTTCACTCTCTTGACTTCAGCACAGCCTTCTTACAGGGCAGCCTGCACGAGGAGATCTGGCTGCGCCGCCCACCTGGCTTCACTGGGTCTTTCCCTCCTGGTACCCAGTGGAGCCTCCGGCGGCCAGTCTACGGTCTCCGCCAGGCACCTCGTGAGTGGCACGACACACTGAGGACTACACTTGCGGCTCTTGGGTTCGCTCCTTCCACTGCTGACCCGTCGCTGTTTCTGCGCACCGACACTTCCCTGCCGCCGTTCTACATCCTCGTGTGCGTCGACGACTTGGTCTTTGCCACTGCTGACACTGAGGCTCTCGCTTAGGTGAAGTCGGAGCTGCAGAAGAGACACACGTGCACAGACCTGGGTGAGCTGCGCAGCTACCTTGGCTTGCAGATCACCCGGGACAGAGCACGCCGCACCATCACCCTGACTCAGTCACACATGGTGCATCAGGTCCTTCAGCGCTTCGGCTTCTCCTGGTCCTCCCCACAGCACACTCCTCTGGCTACAGGTCACTCGCTCTCAGCTCCACCTTCGGACGAGTCCGTAGAGCCGAGTGGTCCTTACCCAGAGTTAGTTGGCTGCCTCATGTACCTGATGACTTGCACTCGTCCTGACCTCGCGTACCCTCTTGGCCTCCTGGCTCGCTACGTGGCTCCTGGTCGGCACCGACCTGAGCACATGGCTGCCGCTAAGAGGGTACTGCGTTACTTGTGCAGTACATCAGGCATGGGGCTAGTGCTTGGAGGACGGAGTGAGGTGGTGCTCACTGGGCACTCAGACGCGTCTTGGGTTGACGACCAGACTACACAGCGGTCGTCACAGGGTTACACCTTCAGCCTTAGCTCTGGCTCTGTTTCTTGGCGGTCTACGCGCTCGTCTTCTGTTCTCAGCTCCAGTTGTGAGGCTGAGATCTACGCCACCGCCATGGCTGCACAGGAGTTACGCTGGCTCACCTACCTGCTGACTGACTTGGGTGAGCGGCCTCGTTCTCCTCCAGTTCTGTACGTTGACAACAAGGCGGCCATTGCCTTGTGTGAGGAGCACAGACTGGAGCACAGAACGAAGCACATCGCTCTGCGTTACTTCCTGGCTCGAGAGTTGCAGCAGCGAGGTCAGCTTCGTCTTCGTCACGTGGCCACTCGGGCCAACACTGCTGATATATTCACCAAGGCACTTCCGTCTGGTGATCATCAGCGCTTTTGTACCCTGTTAGGCCTTGTGCCTACGTTTCCACACTTGCTGTAGTCTTTGGTTGTACTGTGATCTATATATATATGTTCTGCATGCTTGCCCTTGCTAGGTAGTGATCACTGCTCTATTGTTGTTGCATATATATATACCTCTGCATGTGAACTGGCCTTGTGGCCCTTTGCTTGTGCTCAGAGAGTGTGGTGACGTTGTAATCCACCCTGAGCTTGCTTTGCTTCTCTTGACTGGTCGTGTGACCCTTGTTCTCCCCCACTTTGCCTATGGGGGTGTGTCAAACATATATGCTGCTTATTGTGTAGGCTGTAGTGGGGTAGCCTATATGGGGTACAACCCAAATTAGGGTTTACTACTTGTACTCCTGCATCCTGCTAGTGCATTCATTCCTGCTGCTAGATTCTAACAGTCTGGGAGTACCACTTCCCACCTCTCAACTTCCCCCAACCCTTGCATATAGCTTTCCCTCACCTCCCCGCTGTTTCGTGCTGCTGCTGCTGATGCTTCTCACACTCTATATCCCCTCTTTCACCCGCTACCCCTGTCTTCTCTTGTTTTGATGCAGTGATGACCTTGAAACCAGTAGCTTAGTTTCTTAGTCCACCAACTAGTCTTTCAAAATTGTGCCAATATGCAATATTTGCTTAGACTTTTACCAATGGCAGAAGAGTTTTAAATTTCCTAATTAATATGCTAAGCTTTGTGATGCAGATATTTTTAAGCTGAAACCCGATACATTTCTTTGCATAACCAGATTGTGGAATATGTATACCAGGTTTGGTAATACACAAAACTCTTCAATATTCTTCGTCATTACGGTGCAGTGGGGCAATCTGTAGCGCTTACGAAGTCTCGACTTTGTCGCTCCCCACCCAAACCTGCTGCCCAGGTTCGATCGCAACTTATTTCTGTATGGCGTGGTATGTTGGAGGTACCCCGCGAATTCCTCTAGGCCTTGAGATTAGGTTCGGTGAACCACACAGCGCTCGCTGAAACCCTCTCGGCTCCGGACCTGACGTATTTCCCGCCTTCCGAATGTCTCATTCAAATGTCGCGTCGCACTCGGTGTTCCCGAATGCGGCGGACGCTAGAGCACAACCCAGTTCCAAGCGACCCTCCTCGCTTGCACATAAGATACATGTGTTCCACTCTGAATAGTCGCTGTAAAAATGGAATCTTGTGCGACACCCCGATACCCCCAAGGCCAGTCTACGATATCACCTTGGGGTCCGATCGTCGCGCCGCCTCGCAAGCCCATGCCTCAGCAGCGACCATGTCGGCGGGTTCCCCTGCTTGCCTCTCTCCCCCTGCCAGCCTCCCACCCCTGTCGTCGCATTCCGTCGCTCGCTTGCTCCCACTCGCTTCACACCCGACGCCTATCGGAAGTTGCTCCAGTCACCATACAGGAAAAAAGTACAAATAGGTCGCTGGCGTTTCTGTTTCATTTATCAGTCTCGACTAAAGCTGCTTGCAAATCTTCCTACCGTGACCTCGAGTTCCGACCAGCTCGTGCTGCCTTCGCTACCAGCTGTAACACTCTTCGCGAAAGCTTAGCCTTCAACTTCCAACTCTTCGTACATCAGCAATATGGCCTGCGTCGGTGCTGAGAGTGCCTGTGTGGACGTCGATGCTCTGTTCGCGAGCTGCTGGGAGCAAAACGACTCCCTCACTCGCTTCGTCTGCCGCATGATTGCAGCTCCACGCCTGGTAAGAACCACTTCTTCCACGATGTTCGCTTTAGTTCTCGCAAACCCTCGTCTTCTTTACCAGCAATGTTTAATTCTTATGTATCAGAATTCGTTTGCTGGTTATGTCATGACGGTTGTCGTAAACAGCAACTAACCTACCTCTTTTTTCTCGTGCAGGCCATCTCCAGCTGGATCAGGCCGTGCGAGCAAGCAGCAGTGGAGGTGCAGTCGGTTCCCGTTCTCCGTGTTGTCGCTCTCCTGGAAGAGGCTGCGTCAACAGATGCGAAACTGGAAGCGGTAACTGTGAATGCTTCAACCGTGACTGCTGCCGTTTTGACTGAAGCTGAGGAAGCTGAGGAGGCAGAGAAGGTCCGAAGAAGAAAGCCACTTCGCTCCTGGAGCTGCTTGCTCAAGAAGAGTCAATTCCGTCACGTACCTCCTCAGCTGACTCAGTTGCAAAGATTGCTGCCTCCTCAGCCAAGGTCGCGGCCTGGTTGGGTGTGAAAACCGGATCAGAGGCGCAGCAGGGTGGGAAGGTGGAAGCAGAGGCGAGCAGCGGGTGGTGCAGCTTGATTCGCCGTGAGAGCAGCTGCAGCAGCCGCAGTGCTTGTCTCATCCACCTCTCCTCGGACTCCTCCTCCTGCTCCTCCTCCTCCTCCGCTCATAGCCTCTGCAGCAGCCCCACTGGCTTGACAGCGGAGGTAGCTGGTGTGAAGAGGAGGATTGGCCGAGGCGTTTCCCGCATTGGGAAAGGATGCGCCCGGTCCACTGCTTACCATTTCTCTGAGCTCGTGGCAGTTGAGGAAAAATCAGTGAAGAGTGGGATCGATAAGGGCCTTTCCTGCAATGGGAAGGACTGGAGCATGGAGGAGAAGGGGTTTGGGAAGGCGGAGGAGGGACGGATTGTTTCAAACCAGGTGTTTGGGTGTGTTGATGGGGAGGAAGAGGAGGAGGAGGAAGAGAATGGCAGTAGCAAGCAAAGTTCCAGGACCCTTGGGACAGGAACAATGTGCTACATGAATCAATTGTATATGGATGAGGAAGAGGAGGAGAGGGAGGCGCTAGCAGCATCAGGAATCTCTGTTGGCATCGGCAGGTTTGGAGCCAGAAGGAGAATCACTGGCTCTAGCAGCCGGGTGACTCTTAGGAGAATGAGTGGTGCCCTGAGGCAATTTTAGATTAGATGTTAAGAGTTTGGAGTAGCAGCTGTGGCTGTGTCAGAGTAACTAGACTGCCTATGCTTCTAGAACCTGGTCTTGTAAATTATTTATATACATTCTGTTTTTTTTTGTAAACACTTCAGCTGGTCCATCATTCAGCAGCCTTTATCATCAGATGAACTCTTCTAAATGAAGATGAAAACATTTACCTACCCCAATCAGAAGCCCCCTAGCATCAACTCAACAGTTTATTGAGCTGAATGCCATTTCTAGGAATGGTAGGATATTAACTTTTCTCAACAACACCCAACAACCCCATCTCCCCCTTCAGCAACTCATAGTGTATAAGCAACACTTTCCCATACACAAATACTGCAGTTGACGCCCCATTCCAGATTCACCCATTCACATCACAGCCCCATCTCCCGCTTCAGCTTCTGCAGCTCATCATCAATCTCCTCCTCCTCCCTCTTCATGCTCTGCTACGTAGTCAACTCAAATTTGCACCTCACCTTCAAAGATTCACCATTGCATCACAGCCCCATCTCGCGCTTCAGCTTCTGCAGCTCATCATCAATCTCCTTCTCCTTCTCTTTCTTCATCCTCTCCTCCCACGCGCTCTGCTGCGCTCTATTCGCCGACGAGCCAGAGGAGTAGGAGGATGACCCGTACCCGCTGCTGCCACTGCCACCGCTGCTCTGCCTGCTGCTGCCTCTGCTGCTCGCGCCACCACTGCCACCAGTGCTGCTGCTGCTTCCGCTGCTCCCCTCCCTGCTGCTTTTACCGCTGCTACTGCCGCTGCTGCTGCTACCGCTGGGCCCACTGCTGCTGCCATCTGCTCTGCTACTGGCTCCCGAGTAGAAATACTCCTTGCTGTAGTTGGGCTTCTCTTGCTGATCCGGTACATTCTTCTCCAAAAAATCCACTAAATCCTCGCCAAGGTCCTGTTAGCAGGGAATGCAATATAGAGGACGCATCATGTAGTTTTTAATTGAGAAATACGTAGAGAACGCTTAGTGGTAGAAGGTAAATGCAATGAAACACCTGCTCCTCCCACAGGTTTACGGCTTGGTCCCCTGCCCCCTCTGCTTCTCCACCCCTCCCTGCTCTCACGTATATCTAACCCCAACCACTCCACATTGGCCAATCACCATCCCCACCCCACTGCCCCCTCCACTCACCGCCAGCTCCTCCCACAGGCTCTTGGGCTTGCCGCTGCCCCGCTCCTTCTGCTTCTCCTCAAATTCCTTCTGTAAGTCCTTGAAGAAATCGTCTGCGTGCATGCACAGTGGCATGGGGACCGGGGGTGAGGGGGGAAGGGAGATGCAACCTGAGTCGGCATGAACTTGCTCCTTCTGCTTCTCCTCAAAGTCCTGCTGTAAGTCCTTGAAGAAATCGTCTGCGTGAGCACACGGGGCATGAGACGCAGGACACGGGGAAGAAACCGAAGATGGTGCAGGAAGCGAAGGTGGCTCTTGAGTCGACTCAGAGTCTCTCCTTCTGCTTCTCCTCAAAGCCCTTCTGTAGCTCCTTGAATGAATCGTCTGCTAGCACACACGGGGTGGGCGAGGTGAGGTGGAGGAAGGGGGGGAAGGACATGGCAAGGGAAAACAACCGATTTGCTGACTCAGGATCTCCCCTTGTGGCAGTTTCAAATCCATGCCCTTCAAATCCATGCCCTTCAAATCCGTGCCGTTCAAATCCATGCCCTTCAAATCCATGCCCTTCAAATCCATGCCCTTCAACTCCAATCCATGCCCTTCAACTCCAATCCATGCCCTTCAACTCCAATCCATGCCCTTCAACTCCAATCCATGCCCTTCAACTCCAATCCATGCCCTTCAACTCCAATCCATGCCCTTCAACTCCAATCCATCCCCTTCAACTCCAATCCATGCCCTTCAACTCCAATCCATGCCCTTCAACTCCAGTCCATCCCCTTCAACTCCAATCCATGCCCTTCAACTCCAATCCATCCCCTTCAACTCCAAGTCCTCCTGCTCTGCTGGTGCATGAAAAACTAGCGTCTGAGCTCACACGAGGCATTAGAGGAAAGAAGCGGGGCACTGGGTATGGGGCATGGGGGATGGGGCACAGGCGATGGGGCACGGGGCGCGGGGCATGGGGCGCGGGGCATTGGGCGCGGGGCATGGGGTGTGGGGCAGGGGGTGTGGGGCAGGGGGTGTGGGGCATGGGGGATGGGGCATGGGGGATGGGGCATGGGGGATGGGGCATGGGGGTGGGGCATAGGGGATGGGGCATGGGGGATGGGGCATGGGGGATGGGGCATGGAGGATGGGGCGTGGGGGATGGGGCATGGGGATGGGGCATGGGGGATGGGGCATGGGGGATGGGGCGTGGGGGATGGGGCGTGGGGGATGGGGCGTGGGGGATGGGGCATGGGGATGGGGCATGGGGATGGGGCATGGGGGATGGGGCATAGGGGATGGGGCATGGGGGATGGGGCATGGGGGATGGGGCATGGGGGATGGGGCATGGGGGATGGGGCATGGGGGATGGGTCATGGGGGATGGGGCATGGGGGATGGGGCATGGGGGATGGGGCATGGGGGATGGATCATGGGGGATGGGGCATAGGGGATGGGGCATGGGGGATGGGGCATGGGGGATGGGGCATGGGGGATGGGTCATGGGGGATGGGGCATGGGGGATGGGTCATGGGGGATGGGGCATAGGGGATGGGGCATGGGGGATGGGGCATGGGGGATGGGGCATAGGGGATGCCCTCCCCATACCCTCCCCTCTCCCCATACCCTCTCCATGCCCCATACCCTCCCCATGCCCCATACCCTCCCCATGTCCCATACCCTCCCCTCTCCCCATACCCTCCCCACTCCCCATACCCTCCCCTCTCCCCATACCCTCCTCTCGCCCTCCTGCGCCAAGCCACATGCTTACCGAGGCTGAAAAAGCCATCCAGCTTATTCTTTGGTCCTTTCCATGCATCAAACGGGTCAAACGGAAGGGCAAGCTCAATGCCTACTGTCCCTCTTCCCCCCTGTCCCTATCCCCCTCCGCAGCCATACAGTACAATCCAAGCCACACACTCACCGAGTCTGTAAAATACACCTGGCTTGTCCGCGTCGTCAGCCCCTTTCCACGCATCAATCAAACTGCTGGAATCAGCATCACCATGTGGCTTAGAAAGGCGTTAGGGCGCACCACAATGCACTCCGCTCCATACAGCCCGCTAACGCCTCCCTAAGCCACATTACGCACTCGCCGATACTGCAAGTCGCCTGGCCTGTTCGCCAGCCCCGTCCACGCATCGAATGGGTCAGCAAGAGAGACAGATTCACTTCCCCACTGCCACCACTTATCTCGCCCACCACTCACCAAGGCTGTAAAAGTCGTCTGGCTTGTTCTTTGGCCCCTTCCACGCATCAAACGGACCGCTGAAATCTGTGTCCCACTGAACGCCATACCCCTTCCCGCGCCCCATACCCTCCCCGCACCCCATACCCTCCTCGCGCCCCATAACCGCCCCAGACTGTCCAAGCCAATCCAAGCCACACACCCACCAAGGCTATAGAAGTCATCCGGCTTGTTTTTTGGCCCCTTCCACGCATCAAAGGGGTCAAACGGGTCAAATGGACCGCTGACCCACTGCGCTCTACACAACCCCCAGCACAACTTTCAAAACCCAGCCACATACTCACTCACCAAGGCTATAGAAGTCATCTGGCTTGTTCTTCGGCCCCTTCCATGCATCAAACGGGTCAAACGGACCACTGAAATCCGCGTCCCACTGCGCGCCAAATCCCCCACTCGCCCTGCTGCTGCTGCTCCGCCCCCACTGCTGCTGCTGCCGCTGCGAGGCAGCCCGCGCCTTGGCGTTGGCAGCAGCATCGGGGTCCGTGAGGGTCTGGTAGGCCTGCTTTATGCGCACAAATCGTGCCTGGGCGTCGGGCTGGGGTTGGGGGAAAACAGGGGATCGGAAGGGGGATGAGAAGGGAGCGGGGAAGGAGGAGAGAAAGAGGGGTCTGTGAGGGTCTGATACTCCTGCTTGATGCGCACAAAGCGCTGCTGTGCGTCGGGCTGCAGTGGAGGGGAGGAGGGGATAGGGGGGCGGCAAGGGAAGAAGATCAGGTTGGGGAAAGGGCGATGAGGGGTCTTTGAGGGTTGTACGCCGTCTTGATGCGCACAAAGCGCTCCTTTGCGTCGGGCTGGGGGATGGGGGAGGCGGGGGAAGGAGAGGGGGGCGTGGGAAGGTATGATGGGGTGTCTGTGAGGGCCTGATAAGATGGCTTGCTTGATGAACACAAAGCGCTGCTGTGGGTCCAGCTGGGGGGGGGGAACGGTGGAGACGCACTCCTAATGCGCTGCTGTGGGTCCAGCTGGGGGGGGGAACGGTGGAGACGCATTCTTAATGCGCTGCTGTGGGTCCAGCTGGGGGGGAACGGTGGAGACGCACTCCTAATGCGCTGCTGTGGGTCCAGCTGGTGGGGGGAACGGTGGAGACGCATTCCTAATGCGCTGCTGTGGGTCCAGCTGGGGGGGGGAACGGTGGAGACGCACTCCTAATGCGCTGCTGTGTGTCACAATTCTCAAAAGGTTCTCACCGCTTTATTCACGTCCGGATGGTACTTAAGAGCCAGCCGCCGGAACGCGGACTTAATCTCCTTCTGAGACGCGCCTCGAGGCACTCCCAGCACGTCATAAGGTGACTGCTCCGCTCCCGCCGCCGCTACCACGACCACTCCCCCCCGACCGGCACCCCCTACCGCTGCAGATACTCCCCCCTTCCGTTCCGCGCGCCTGCGCAATTCTCCGGCAAACCCGCCGTTTCCCCATACTCCCCCTATCTCTCCGCTGGACCACCCGCATTGGCGCGCAGTGGCCGATTGCCACGTGTAGCGATCGGCTCGAAATTTCGAAAGTGTCGCGTGCGTAGAGATGGAGAAAGGCGTGCCACGTCGGCCGTGGGTGTCGAAGCGCGGGCCGCGAATGGCGGCGTGGCTGGCGCCGCCATTTGATAGTCCGTTCAGAGATGCTAGAGTCCCTGACGACGCTGCTGCCATCTGAACCAGTTTAAGAATGGGATCCGACGCGGGAATGCGACCTGCCTGATCAGCACCGCGCCGCGATATTTAAATTAGCAAACGACAGCCACGTGGCAACGACGAGCTTGACTATCACCACTTCAAGCTCGGCCGTAAATGGAGGCGTATTGTACGGCGTAGTTCCCAGCGTCGTTTGCAAAATATACGCGCGGAGCGTGGAGTGCGGTGCGGTCTGATTCGTGAATCCCTGAATCCAGAATCGTGAATTTTGAATGGTGGTTGTGGTGAATGAGAGTCACATCAGAAGGCGTGTCACACTGGTGTTGGTTGACTGACGTCACCCAGTCCCCGAAGTCGGAAAAGCAGGGCTGACTCATCTACGGTGCGATGTGGAGCTCGTGAACGCGGACGCGCATCTGCACCGTTGAATCGCAGGTGTGCACTACACGGCAAATCTTGTGATTCTCGGCTGATTGGCCTGGGAGGGGAAGCGGGGACGCTGGATCTCCGTTATAACAGTTCGTGGAACTTGACTCACAGCAGGACCTCGTGAAACTTGTCAAACAGTTGTTCTGTAAGAGTGTGTTTACAAGTAGTGCCAATAGGTAGGAAACGAGTATGAGAGCTTGACATCTCCATATAGTACAACATACTCCTTTCATAAATCACTCAGCAAGAAGGTCACACATAAGAAAAAAAGTCCACAGTCACCAGCCAATGCCAATGTCAGTGGCCTTGATTTTTATCACCGTGATCATTACCATTGCTGTAACAATATGTATATTTTTAAAAGCTGTAACGCTTTTCAAAATTATGTATTTCGAAAGCGAAGCTGCCTGTAATGTAGGATTTGGCAGCGTCGAGCCGCGCTAAACGCCCGTTTTGGAGTACAAAACGTGGGCTGGAGGTCATTTCCCTCCACCCACGTCTCTCATTTTCAAACGGTTTAGCCGATTTGAAGTCTCAATTTTCACTCTCGATTTTCGTCTCCCTTTCCGAGCTGGCGAAGTTGAAGTCTCTTCCCCGTTTTCAATCTCCGTCAACTTTACTCTCGGACATCCTCGCACACAACGCATCAGCTATGGCACTTAACGGCGGCGAGGTTAATACCACTACCGCCCCCTCTCGACCCGAGTCCGGAAGAAACGCTTGCGAAATCGCGGGCGATCGCCCGAACAAGCGCCAGGCAGACGACGGGGAAAATTCCCCGACTGGCGTCGACGTCCTGCTCGGCCCGACCGAGGCACACGCCACGGGCGTCGAGGCACACGCCCCTGGTGTGCCTCGAGCCCCTGTGGCCCCTGACGCGTCGACCACGACAGAAGGCGCCAAATCGGCGCCAACCAGCACAGCCGGCACCCCGCGTCCGCGTCAGCGCCGCAGGCCCGCGGGCCCTGACGCGCCTGTGGCGCCTGACGCGCAAGTGGCGAAGGGTGCCCAAGTGGCGCCAACTTTTTCTGCAGCCCAACTGCAGCAGCTTCTGTCCCTGTTACAGCAGCACGCCCCTGCTGTTACTGAAGAAATTGCTACACCGAACGCGACTTCCGTTTCTGCTAAAAGCGAAAAGGCGAAAACGGAGCCTGTCAAGCGCGCTCGCACGACAAAAACCGGAAGGGGCGAAGACACACGCGCCGCCGCCACTCCAGTCACGAACAACCCTATCGACAGCGACAACGAAGACGACGACGATGGTGAGGCACATGCCGTAAATGCCTCTTTCGCACCCGTTGAGCAACTTCCCCCACTCCCCTCACCCAATCCCACTCTAACCGCCGCCTCGTTCAAGAACGCTGCCGTGCGCGAGCAAGCCGAGGTCCTGGAACACCTGCGGGCGTACCTGAAGCATGTGGAGTACAAAGTGCGACACAACGAGCCGGAAAGCGCCCTCGAATACCTTGGCGAAGCCTTCACACTCATCAACAACCGCTTCAAGCTACTCCATGTCACCGACTACACCAACTTCCGCACCGCAAATCGCTTCAAGCTCTACGAAGATAAGAGTGTCTTCACCTCACGTCCGTTCAAGCAGGCCGTCGCGGACGTGGCGGCCATGGAGCGCGCCCAAGGCAATTTCACTCGCACTCCACGTGGCGGAGGGCGCGGGCCCATGGCATTTGGCAACAAGCGCGGTCCCCCACTTGATGGCAATGGCAGGAGCTTTCGTGGCTCATGCTTCCGTTGTGGGCAGCCGGGCCACATGGCCAATGCTTGCCCGGAAAATGGGGGAGGAGCCCAAGGGCCGGCGCCGGTGGTGTGAACACCCTAGGGGGTGGTGCCGAGAGGCTCGAGTGAGGGTGATGGCACTAGGAAGTGCGAGGCCGCTGGCCTATCCCATAGGGGATGTGAGAAAGGCCGCGGGCCTACCCCAAGGCAAGGGGTGTAGGACTAGGAGTCCTAGGTGAACATGGGATTGGAAATAATGCTTCTATGCTCTTATGAATGAGTGGAAAGGCCTAATGGGCGAAATTGTTGGACTTGATTGAAAAAAAAAAAAAAAAAAAAAGGAGCATGCGCTCTTGATGTATGGACCTGAAACAACAAATACCCGCATGGCATGGTGGCCTACGGTACACGCGAACTAGAGAGCGAGAGAAGGAGAGAGATAGAGAGTGTATAAAATGGAAAGTGATAAGATGTTTGGGCTATGCACCCATACAATGCAAAGGAATCATGTGCGAAGGGGGGGCAAAAGGAAACGAGATGGTGTGGGACTTGGGGTCCCACAATACCACGGGCTCACGCCATAATGCAAGACAAAGGTGGCCTGCCAATCATGGAAGGCGGCAAATGCCCATTCAAAGAGTACGCGAAAAAGAGAGAGAGAGAGAGAGAGAGAGAGAGAGAGAGAGAGAGAGAGAGAGAGAGAGAGAGAGAGAGAGAGAGAGAGAGAGAGAGAGAGAGAGAGAGAGAGAACGCCTTGCTCAAAGACTAAGGCCAGAATCACCGAGTCGGGTGGCAAGTGTCACCACTCTCACGCGATTGGTCCAAATATTCACTTGGTTTTTGCCAGGATTGGCTTCCGAGCTTCCAACCAAACCTACTGCCTGGGCTTTTGTCTGAACCTACAATTCCCAGTCGACTTCCTTGTGTAATTTGGGTCTTGGGTTTAACGAGGCATGCCCCGTGTTGCCCCCACACCCTATGGTCCAATGGCCACAGATATGCCGGGGGGTGGAACGATCGAGGGGAGTGGCCCCTACGAGTTTGCAATCACTGACAAGGTCGTCACGACCATGCGTGGGCGCCTGCGCACGACATTTCCATGGTGGAGCTCATGGTGTGAGAGTAGCTTCATACTCTCGGTAATCTCCAACGGCTATTGGATGCCATGGAAGCAGGGCCCACCTACGCCGTTCCGGCAGGACAACCACGCGGGAGCGCTAATTCATTCCACGTTCACCAAGCAAGCAATAACCGAGCTTCTCGAGAGTGGTGCGGCCGCTCCCGCCCCAGCGGAGCAACAGCTATGTATCAGCCCGCTGAATGTCGTGGTTCAAAGAGAAAAGTGCCGACTGATTCTTGACCTCCGAAGGGTGAACCAACATCTGTGTATCCCCAAATTCAAGTACGAAGGACTGAACCGGGTGGCGGAGCTCGTTCACGAAGACGACTGGATGTTCGCAGTCGATTTAAAATCGGGATACCACCACGTCGACATCCACCCTTCATGCTGGAAGTTCCTCGGGTTCCAATTCGACGGGCGCTCGTACGTTTTTCAGTTTCTACCATTTGGTCTGGCGACAGCCCCGTTCGTTTTCACGCAGCTCATCAAGCAGCTTGCCCGCCGTTGGCGGGCGCTCGGGGTGCGAGTCATCCCTTACGTCGACGACATCCTCTTTCTGTGTCGCACGGCAGCCAAAGCGAGAACCACGGGTCAGATGGTGGTGCAAGACCTCAGGAAGGCTGGACTGGTTATCAATTCTAAGAAGTCGCACCTGCAACCCACCCAGCAACTGCGGTTCTTGGGTGTCGAGTTGGATACACAACGCGGCCAGTTCTCCATTGGCCCCGAGCAGTGAGCATCATTACGCTCAACCATTCATGAATTATGCATGGCCGGCAAGGCCGAACGCAAAGTCCCGATCCGACACGTCGCCAGAGTTACCGGCATGCTCGCGTCGATGTCACTTGCCATCGGCGCAACCGCACGGGCATTCAGCCAGAACCTATTACAGACCATTCAAGATGCCCCTTCCTGGAACAGCAGAGTGCAGTTGGTCCCTGCGGTCATTGAAGAGCTCGAGTTTTGGCTGCATGAATTTGACAAGTTCAATGTCGCCTCGTTCCACGTCCCGAACAGCTACGATGCAGTGATCCATGTGGACGCCAGCGCACACAGTTGGGGAGCGACACTAGATACGTTCCCAGGACGGCGAATTGAGGCGAGCGCAACCATGCCCGTGCACCTCACGAAAGCCTCCAGCACGCAACGAGAAATGGATGGAGTCCTATGGGCGCTGCAGACATTCTCGGGAAGGATCCAGAACCGACATGTCCTCGCCAGAACCGACAACCAAGGTGTCTTCTTTATCCTTCGCAAAGGTGGTTCGCGGACTCCGAGCCTCACAACCACGTGCAGAGCCATTATTCAAGCGTGCGTTGCCTCCGGGATTCGGCTGACGGTCGAATGGATTCCGCGCGAACTCAACACACGAGCTGATGAACTTTCAAAGATCATCGATCGAGACGACTACGCACTCAAAGCACCATGGTTCCGGGTTCTTGAACGGCGCTTGGGACCGCACTCTATCGATCTATTTGCCAATGCGAACAACACCCAGCTGGCTCGCTTCTGCTCCAAAACCCCTCATCCCGACGCAGAGGCAACCGATGCCTTCTCCCTATCATGGGCCTCCGAGCATGCATACGCCTTTCCGCCACCCCACCTCATCCCAGCGGTGCTGCATCACGCCCAAAGGACGCGAGCATCGCTCACGCTCGTCGTGCCCCACTGGCCAGGGGCAAGCTGGTGGCCGTTACTCCAACCCGCTCCGCCCCAATGGGCTGCCTGCATTCTCACCCACATCCGCCTCACCCACGGGAGCCAATGCCTGTCCGCAGGCACCCACACCCGCGCCTTTTCTGGGGAAGGATTGCCTCACAGCCCGATTATTGCATTACGAGTGTCCTTCGCCACCTGACCATTCACACATCTGGTGCAGGATTGCTCGAGAGGCTCAAGCAAGAACTTCTTCGGATAACCACGCGTACGAGGGCTGACTCGACGATTCGCACCTACGAACCATACTGGGCCAAGTTTCGTGCATTCTGCACACACGTCAAATTGCAGTTCCTGCCATGCACAGACATGACACTCGCATTATACCTGGTCCACGCGATTCAACAGAAGGCCACCATATCGGCAGTACAACTGACATGCTCGGCAGTCAGCTTCGCGCATCGGATGATTGGGGCCACGTGCCCGTCGACTGGGCCATTCACATCCAATGTGCGAGACTTCGCCAAGCGACATTGCCCGCGGCCCCAGCGTCTCAAGGAACCCGTCTCTCTGCATCAAGTACACGCTATGGCGGCGGAATTCCTGGAATCGAACAAGCCTGGCGAGTTTCAGAAGGGGCTCATTCCGTTACTCATGTACTCCGGCTTCCTGCGATACTCAGACCTCGCCGCACTTAACTGGCACGAGATTGAGTTCGAGCAAGACGTCATGTGGCTCCTGATTCCCCGCTCCAAAACAGACCAGGCAGGAGACGGTGCATGGGTTCCCGTAGCCGCAACTTCGGGCCCTTTTTGCCCCGTACAGTGCACTAAACGCTTCATCCAGTTGGCAGGCTACGGCCGTGCACAAGAAGGTCCACTGATACGAGTCTTCGGTTCAGACACCATGGGTCGCGGTAATCCGACAACACCACCCTCCTACACAACGATTCGCAACTGGTGCAAGGAGGCATTCCAAAAGATCGGATTAGGACTCGAGCACCTCGGCACCCACTCCTTTCGCAAAGGCGCAGCAACCGTCGCCGCCAACGGAGGAGTACCAGACCGCATATTGAAACAGCTGGGGAGGTGGCGCAGCGATACGGCTAAAGAGATGTACATCACTCCGGCAATAGACCAGTTGGTTGGAGCATCTCGACATGTCCAAGATCCGACGAGAGCCTCGTCACCATTGCAACACTCCGCGGCGCTGACACGACATCGCCAACCAGCACGACACATGTCTCAGAAGACCCATTTGAAATGAGACGATGCCAATTGCTACATGCAAGAAAGCAAGCTTTCTAAATAACAACTATTGTAACAGCAAGTGTACCAGGGAGAGTGCCCCGTCACCTCCTGGCCTGGCCTGTGGCCGCACTCCATGCTGTGAGCACATGGTCCACTATGGCTGGCATTGTGAGTAAGGGCGTGTTCCTACGGCCTCATATCAGGAAATCTCGTATCAAGAATGTACAATTTGCCTGGTAAAACTAGCGAGAAGTTTTGGGTTTAGGGGAATTTTCAGTGTGAGCCTGATACGAGGTTGTCTTGATACGAGGTGTAATAAGCTGCTTGCTTCCATGACTGTAACGAAGACAGTAACAGTGAGGCAACAGCAAGGGTGCCAGGGATCCTGATTCTTGACTAGACCCATCATCTCCTGGGCTGGCCTGTAGCAGCACTCCATGCTGTGAGCACATGGTCCACTATAGCCGGCACCCCCACCCCATGCTTCACCTGCTTGGGGGAGAAATGTGATAGTTGGATTGGAGGGATGGGAGCAGCAGACATGTTAAGACGTCTCAAAGCCATTCTATTATAGGGCCCTTTCCATGACTGCCAGGCCACACGCGCAGCTATCCTCCTTATAGGGATAGTCCCATTACAAGTCCCACAGGCACACATGTCTTCATTCCCCTCCTTTCCCGTCCCCCACCCACCCACCTGTGCGAACACCAAGGGCCCGCCATCCTGCATGCGCAGCGTGTCTCTTTCCATAACTGCCAGGCTCACACAAGCCCCTTCCCCCCCCCACACACACACGCACACACACATACCTCCATGCATGCATTCCCTTCCTGACCCCCACCCACCTGTGCGAACACCAGTGGCCCCCCATCCCGCATGCGCAGCGCGTCCGCTTCCATGACTGCCAGGTCAGCACCGATCGCCGGCGCCAGGTCAGTCTTGTTCACCACCTGATGATGCCACGTCAGCATGGCAGAATGCACGCGGCATGGAGCACAGAACAGGAAGAGAACAGGATATATTTGAATAGGAAGAGAACTTTTGAGTCGACTCAAAAGTCACCATAGAACAGCAAAAGGGACAAGGAAAGGGGAACGGGCGTGGGAGAACAGGGGAACGATGGATTTGAACAAGAATGGTGACAAGGAGAAAGTGGGTTGGGGAGGAAAAAGGAGTAGGTTAATTAACAAGGAGCATGGGAGAATCGATTTTCCACTATGCCAACCACAGGTAAGCCCCCTGCTCTCACTGCCACACCCCCTCCTCTCAACGCCACACCCCCTGCTCTCGCTGCCACGCGCCCTGCTCTCAACCCACATACCCATTCACAGGTTGATGGCCGGGCCGCACCCACCCACCGCAGCCCACCCACCGCAGCCCACCCACCGCAGCCCACCCGTTTCACACTACCTGCACACCACCTCCAGGGATCTTCTCTCCACCCACCGCACTTGAGCTCATACCCCTGGGACCATGCCCATCGTCCTCACCTCTCACCCCCCCTTTCTCTCACCAGCAGGTCTGCCTGTGTGATGCCCGGGCCGCCCTTCCTCGGGATCTTATCACCCCCCGATACGTCAATGATGTAGATGATGTAGTCTGCTAGTTCGCGGCTGAAGTTGGCCGCTAGGTTGTCTGCGGGAAGGGGAGCAGGGGAGATAGATGGGTGCAGAAGCAAGCGGCATTTTCACCCCCACCAGCCCGACACGTCAATGATGTATATGATGCAGTCTGCTAGCTCTCGGCTGAAGTTGGCCGCTAGGTTGTCTGGGAAGAGTGGGATAGGGCACAGGGGACAAGCGGAGCAGGGGAGATGAAAGGGTGCAGCAGAAGCAAGCGAGATTTTATCGCTATCCGACACGTCAATGATGTATATGTTGTAATCTGCTAGCTCTCGGCTGAAGTTGGCCTCTAGGTTTTCTGCGGGGAATGGGATGGGGACAGGGGAGAGGAGCCAGATGGGGAGACAGATGAGGAAACAAATGGGGTGTCATCACCAACCCCGACACGTCAATGATTTAGTCTCCTAGCTCCCGGCTGAGATTGGCTGCCAAAAGGCAAGCATCACAAGAATAGACCTTTCTCTCACTCGCGCACCTCCCCCTGACTCGCACAGCAGCATATTTGCACTGAACTGGGTAGACAACTCCTCCAGTGGCCCCAGGTTGATGCTCATGCCCTCCCAGATGGCAACGTGCGGACAGCCACGTGCAAACATAGCATTCTTCCTTTCACTCACCTCCCCCTGATTCGCACAGCAGCATGCCCGCCTTAAATTCAGCCAAAAGTTCCTCCAGTGGCCCGGATGGTGGCGTGCGGACAGCCGCCCGTCTCCACTGCGCGGATGCGCATGTGACTGCCCATACCCTTTTGAGGCGCCTCAAAAGACTGCCCATACCGTCGAATCACTCACCTCCCCCTGACTCGCACAGCAGCATATCCGCACTGAACTGTGTCGACAACTCTTCCAACTGCGTTGATATCCTCTCGGATGGCAGCGTGCTGACAATCACTCACTCACATGCACACATAGCATGCCTCGTGTGACTCTCACCTCCGCCTGATTCACACAGCAGCATATCCGCCTTGAACTCAGTGGAAAGCTCCTCCAGTGGCCCCAAGTTGATGCTGATGTCTTCCCGGATGGCAGCATGCGGACAGCCGCCCGTCTCCACGGCCCGGATGCGGCCGGGCGGCGAGAGGGCGGCGTGCTTTATGAGGAACTCGCCGTCCTCCTGTGTGAAGATGTCGTTGGTGACCGCTGCCAGGCTGTACTTGTCCCGTAGTGTGCGACACAGTGCGAGCATGAGAGCCGTTTTGCTGCAGGAGAATAATGTGGGTTGTCATTGTGGAGTGGAGTGCAGGTGGGAGGGAAGGAAGGGAGCAGCAGAGCGCATGAGGGGAACAACTCGCCGTCCTCTTGTGTGAAGATGGCGTTGGTGACGGCTGCCAGGCTGTACTGCTCTCGTAGCATGCGACACAGGGCGAGCATGAGAGCAGTCTTCCTGCAAGGGAGTCAGGGGGAAGGAAGGGGGAGCAGAGGGCGGCGTGCTTGATGAGGAACTCGCCGTCCTCTTGTGTGGAGATTGGTGACCGCTGCCAGGCTGTACTGCTCCCTTAGCGTGCGACACAGCGCAAGCATGAGAGCAGTCTTTCTGTGGGATGTGGGGGAATGGGGACAGAGAGTGCGAGAGGGCGGCGTGCTTTATGAGGAACTCGCCGTCCTCTTGTGTGAAGATGGCGTTGGTGACGGCTGCCAGGCTGTACTGCTCCCTTAGCGTGCGGCAGAGAGCCAGCATGAGAGCCGTTTTGCTGCAAGGGAAAAAGAGGGATGCAGGGGAGGGAATCACGAGGGTGGAGATGTCGTTGGTGACCACTGCCAGGCTGTACTTGTCTCGAAGTGTGCGACAGAGAGCAAGCATGCGAACAGTCTTTCTGTGGAATGGTTGATGGCGAAAGGATGAACGAGGCCGTGGGAGTATAAGGGGAGAATAAGTGCGGGTAAATTTGTCGTTGTAGAGGGAGAGAGATAGATGGCCGTCAGAGGGAATGGAGGAATGGGGACGGATGGGGAAATGGGGGAATGGGGGCTTGGGGAAATGGGGGCGGATGGAGAAATGCGGGAAAGGGGGAATGGGGGCGGATGGGGAAATGGGAGAATGGGGGAGTGGGGGAATGGGGGAGTGGGGGTTTGGGGGAATGGGGGAATGGGGGAGTGAGGGAGTGGGGGAATGGGGGAGTGAGGGAATGGGGGAATGGGGGAATGGGGGCGGATGGGGAAATGTGGGAATGGGGGAATAGGGGAATGGGTGACTAGGGGAAGGGGGAAATGGAGGAATGGGGGGCGGATGGGGAATGGGGGAATGGTTGAATGGGGGAGGATGGGGGGGGGGGGGCGGGGGAAGTAGGCAGGACGGATGGGGGAAGGAGGGGGTGAGGTGACACCTGGCACGCCCCCTTCCCCCCTCACCCTTCAGATTCCCCGCTCCCTCCTTCCTCCTCCGCCCTCCGCCTTCCCCCACACAACCTGCGCGCAATGCACCCCTTCAATTTCCCTTCTCTCTCCCCCTCTACGCCTCTCCCCCGTTGTGCCCCGTTCCCCTCCCCTCCCCCCGCCTCTCCTCCCCCCGTTTTCCCCCCATCCCCTTACCCTCCCCTTCCCCCGCGTACCCTGATCCCACCGGCCCGCCGATTCCAACAGTAAACGCGCGCTCCCCCAGGTCGCGGTTCGCCAGGGGCGGCGCGCGCAGCGCGAAGCTCCCCGCGCTGTCGAGCGGCTCGTGCGAGTGCGGCGCGAGCCCGTCGTGCGAGTGGTACACGCGCCCGTCCGCGCCGCGGAACTCGTCGGTCGGTGCTGACGCGTCGCCGCTGGATTGGACAAGAAGTTTCCAAGGAGTTAGAGCAAACATCAAGATGAGGAAAGGAGGAGAAACGGAGAGAGAGAAAAAAAGAATAATCTTAAAATAAAAGAAGGAATGAACATCAACGGTTGGCGGCCAAAACGATGCGCTACATTACGGTAAAACGATAATGGATTCAAGGGATCACTGACGTTCCAGGATGGTCGTGCTCGTGGTGATGGTGGTGGTGGGGATGGTGATGGTCGTCGTCGTGCGAATGCGAATGCGCGTGCGCGTGCGCGTGCGAATCCGCGGCATGACCGTGGCTGTGCGCCGTTCCGCCTTCCGCCTGCTGCCGCGCGTCCGCTCCGTCGTCCCCAGCCATTCGTTATCAAGGATTTGATTCGTAGCAGACTGCTGCTTCTAAGAACTAACTCGTAGGAGACTGCTGCGGCTTTTTGCAAGACCCACAATGGCCAAATGAGAAAATCTCGAAAAAGTGCTGCTCCGAGTAACTCGTGTATCAGAACAAAAACGAAGGGAAAAGCAACAAAAAAGGGCAGCCGCGCGTCGAAAGCCAGTACCTATCGCAGTACCCTTGGGATTTCCCAGCAACAGGAATCGAGCAGCTAAGGCAAGCCGTGGCGAGCAGAGACGACAGACGATAGCAGCGAGTACAATACGCGGTTGAAAGCCCTCGAGATGATCAGAATTCAAGCGTGAAAAAGCTCTGCAGGATCCACGGCGCTCTCGAAAATCCCTAGCGTGAAAAGCTCACAGAGCACGATACTTAGGCTTACGGGAATGGCAGGCGGACAATAACGGAGCAGCCTGCCATTTGCACGAGGCTTATATTGCGGATGTTGATAATCGCGTGTGGTGGTCAACTCGCTATTGCACAAACCAGGTTCGTCCAGGGAAATACAGTTCCAAGTGCTGAATGCATCTCTTGGATTCATTTATGTCATCATGTCCATATACAACCACCACCACCTTATTTATTAGCACTGGCACTCATTTGTTAATAAAAACGCACACAGAAACCCCTATATAAACACACATATAAACCCTATGTGTGAAAAAAGCAGGCCAAACAAAGAAATTAGTCACGCCACCATCGTCCTGAGCTTTTGATTGCAGGGCTCAACAGGTGGTTGTGATAACCACTGCCACATGCCCATGGGAGGCATTCCAGGCATGCCATATGGCATGGCCGGCACATGCAGGTACTGTGGACCGGGTGCAGCCGCAGCAGCACCACCAGCTGAACCAGCTGAGCCACCACCAGCAGCCAAGGCAGACGGTGAACCAGAAGCACCAGCAGCAGCAAAAGCAGAAGCACCAGATGAACCAGCTGTAACACCACCAGCACCAAAAGCAGCAGTAGGAGTAGTACCAGTTGAACCACCATCACCACCAGTTGAAACACCACCACCAGCAGCAGCACCAGCAGCTGAACCGGCGGAACCACCACCGGCACCGCCAGCAGCAGGAGCAGGATGTTTTGGCATGTGACCTGTACCACTCTTGTCTTGCACAGTGCGGGGCTGGGGACGGTGAGGGTGCGAGTGGGGATGAGGGAGAGGATGAAGCATCCCCCCAGGCATGAACGGAATGGGCATCAACCCCATGGGTGCTCCCATTGGGCCCAGCTTGCCCGGCTCACACACTGCATGCAGCATCAACGGCACCGCTCCAGGCGAACCCGGAGACCCCGGAGCACACGGAGCAAACCCAAGAGGAGGAGAAACAGCAGCTGCTGGCCGGGCAGCTGAAGAAACCACTGATGCTGCTGCTGACGTGGCGGCGGTGGATTGGGCGGCACCGGATGCTGCCAAGCGGCGGACCTCGTCTTCCAGCTGCTGCTTGCTGGCCAGCAGACACGCCCTCTCCTCCCGTAGCTCGCTCTTCTCCGCCTGCTCACACAGGCAACGTGCGTAGGGGACAGGGCAAGGAATGAAAGAGTCAACTTAAAAACCAGACGTGCATTCTAGAATCTCCTCTCTCCGCAGCTCGCTCTTCTCCGCCTGCTCACACGGGCGGCAGAGTGCGTAGGGCACATGGAAAGGAAAGACCTTTCAGTTGACTGAATCTTCTCTGCCTGCACGCACGGGCAATATGCACCCCTCTCGGTTCCCAAACACCCTCCCTGTCACGCGCCCGTTCCCCCAACCCACACACGCACCTTGAGCTCGCGGATCTGCTCCCTCATGTGCTCCGCGGAGCCCCTCAGCTGCGCCCTCTCCGCCCGCAGCTGCGCCAGCACGCGCACGGCGTCCACCAGAATGCTCCCCCTGTCCGCGCGCGCCAGCTCACTGCGCTCCAGCGACCGCGCCAGCTCCTCAAACCTGCCGTAGGGGGGATGTACCAAAGAAACGAAATGAGGGGAGTGAGGGAAGGGGAGATAAAATAGGCAAGGAATCATAAGGTGCCAAAAAAAAAAAAAAAAAAAAAAAAAAAAAACACGCGCTGGGAAAGCGTGCGGCCGCATTCTTCAGGAGAAACAAAAGGGACGACGAGAAGGCGAGTGATGGGGTATCAAGAGCACCCAGCATGCAGCGCAGCGACGCACCTGTCGTTGAGTCGGTTGCGGCGCATCTTCTCCCGATTGGCATTGTTGCTGTTCGACTCACTCGGCTCCTCTCGCTGCCTGGATACAGACGCGCGCGGGACGTCGGGGGGTACGTGAGAAGGGAGAATGCGCCAGGAGAGGGGAAGTCGTGAGGCAAAGTTGTGGAAAATGGGAACGCCGAAAGCATCGGAAAAAAATGGACGATCGGCCAATAACGAGGATATGGAACGAGATGGTGAGAGTCGTTTTCAGGACCAATGCAGCCACGGATACAGACGCCAAGGAACGTAAAAAGGGCGCCAGATTACTCGCCTTTCGTGGGAAGCAGCGCCGCCGATGTGTTGTTCTTCGTACCATGCCCCCGGGTCGTTGCCACGCGACGGGTCCCTCCACTGCGACGGCTGCTTGTCCGCCGCACTGCTCTCATTGGCGCGACTGGACGTCCTGACACAGGGGGGAGGGGGAAGGGGGAAGGGGGAAGGGGGAAGGGGGAAGGGGGAAGGGGGAAAGAGGGAAAGGGGAAAGGAAAAACATGAGGAGCACGTGGAAACGGAGGAAGGGGAAAAGGGGAAGTGGGAGGAGACGAGGCGATGAGAAGCGAGGACGGGCCTTTTGAGTGAGAGACACGAAAACGGCAACGCTAGACGCGCCATGACCTGATATGCTGCATTGAAGTTACCGTTACACTGCTGCAGAGTGTGCATAGTAGGCGAAATCGTACTCACCTCTCGGAATCCTGGCAGGCGGAATCTTGCTGCTCGGCGAACATATTCTCCATTAGTAGTGTGGAACGTCCGTCACCGTCAACGTGAATGATGACGGAATCCGTCAGGTCTTTCATCCATTGGCACTGGCTGGTGGGGAACGGCCCTGACAGCGTCGCCATCATGAGGGTGGGATGAATTAGTGATGCTGGCGGAAAGGGCGGAGTGCGGCTTTGGCGGAAGGGTATGAGGTAAAGAAAGGCTTCAGGTTGGAAAGGCGGGAATGACGGGTAAACGAGGCGCGAAGGGCTTGGCTGTTTGGCGAGTCGTCAGGCGGATGGGGCGTGAAAGTTTAAGTATTTTGGCGATTGGGAGGCAATTCGTGACGAGAAACAGAACGCCGGACAGGGAGAAGTAGCGTGAGTGCAGAGATGGCGCAGTGCGCACTGAAGAAAGTGTCAGACGCCTTCAGACTATATTCGTGTCGATAAGGAGCAACATAACAGGGAAACCGTAGCCCAGGGCTGGGTGGCCCTGGGCTGGGCTGAGTCTAGTAGCCCAGGGGCGGCAAGACAAGAAGCACGGTCAACAAAGTGGTACGGAGGAACACCGCACGTGTGCTCTAGGCTCGGCACGGAGCTCAAGTGACAGACAGGGCTCAAACACACACCCTACACGTTTAGGGATAAAGACCGGATAGCTGCCGCCGCCGCCCTGGAAAGATAAGATAGGGATAACGACCGAACCTTGCACGACGCGACGCGAGCCGCCGCCACACTTCTTTGCTCGACGGCCATTGGAGGTCGAGATGGGCGGAGGCATGATAAGATAGCATATTGGAACGGAGCACGCCATGTCACCACCTAACCGGCGGGTTAATGGACCTTCAATTTCTGTGAAATGGTTACAGCAGCAGCCGAGAAACCAGTAAGCAGCAAAATCGCCACGCTCACAAGCCGCGTTGGCGGCGGCTATCGCCGCGCGAGCCGCTAGCGCTGCGAGACGGTGGAGGAGAGGGAGAGAAAGAGTGTGGTGTGGAGCGAATCGCGTGGCTGGTCCGGTAACTGAGGGAAAGGAGAAAAGGGAAAGGTTGGGGAGGGTAGATGGGCCCGGCCGGTACTAGTGGGGGAGTAGATGGTGGGGGGCTGGGGTGAGGGAGGGCCTTGAAGGGAGAACGTCCTCGTTCGCGGCATCATCTTGACTTACCCATCCCCGCTGTCTCCTCCACACAAATCTTATCTTCAACCGGAAGGGTGTACGAGATATGAGTAAAAACCACCGATCTGTACCGCTTTGAAAAAATAATGCACCGTCGAATTTTACGGAATCGCCTTGTCTCAAACATCTTTCCCTCGCATCACCACCACTCCCTATTGGTCGATTATGTGACTTTTAAGCCACCCAAAGGTCACTCTCGTGGCGACGTTCCGATGATCCCCCTACCAACTAATTCCCTCGCGCCCTCCGCCTTTTCAAAGCTTCCCCTCCCCCCTCCCCCCCTTCTCGCTCTACACAGGGTGACTCGCGAAAGTCAGACCCCCAAACCAAACCACTTCCCGACGCGCCCTCGTTCCAAGCTCCCCCCTCCCCCAACCCCACCCCCACCTGCTTCTCCCTTGCCGAAACTTGAGGAGAACCTGCACAACTTCAGGAATATTCCGCGCTGCCTAGTGCAGGTTGTGTGTGGGTCAGCCCCAGTCCAGATCAGACCGAATGGCCACAGTACATGTGAGTGGGTGAAGCGAGGAAGCGTGCCCAATGTCCATACTCTCGCGTGCTTGTCGTCACTCAAGTTACTCCCCGTACAGTGTGAATTAACTACCGATCAAGACGTGCTGTGCTGGCAGCAGCTAGTGTCAGAATCCCAGTCACTAACCACTGGGATAAAAGGGCTTGTTTATATAGCGGGTGAGTGCGCCCATAACCCCCCAGGCCGACGTGCCTGTAACCCTTCCCTAGGATCATCGGGGATCTCCAGTGGACCTCTGACACCCCCCCGCACTGGGATGCCCGAAGTGCACACACCGGGATTCGAACCCGAAACTCACGGCACCCCCATACCCTCCACCCCCAAACCCTAACACAGGAACGCGGGCAGTAGCGGGGGTGGGGCGCCGGCAGAAGCTCGGGGGACGGACGAGGCGCGCGCACGGGCCTGCCGCAGGCCGGACGAGGCGCGCGCGGGCTGCCCGGGCCGCGCGCGGGCCTGGCGCAGGCCGTACGGGCCGCGCGCGGGCTGTACGGGCCGCGCGCGGGCCTGGCGCAGCCCGTACGGGCCGCGCGCGGGCCTGGCGCAGCCCGTACGGGCCGCGCGCGGGCCTGGCGCAGCCCGTACGGGCCGCGTGCGGGTCCCAGGGGCGCTTCGACGGGCGACGGGGGCGTTTCGACGGGCGACGGGGGGCGCTCCGACGGGCGACGGGGGCGCTTCGACGGGCGACGGGGGGGAGCGCTTCGACGGGCGACGGGGGGCGCTTCGACGGTGGGAAACCGCCGCGCGCCTCGGGGCGCACGGCGGGCAGAAAACCGCCGCGCGCCCCGAGCGCGCGGCGGGAAGAAAAAACGAACATCGCGCGCCACGGGACGCGCGACACACAGGAAGGCAGCGGAAGCAGGCGGGCCCACAGGCCAGGAGCGTAACCGCTCTGATAGCATGTCAGAATCCCAGTCACTAACCACTGGGATAAAAGGGCTTGTTTATATAGCGGGTGAGTGCGCCCATAACCCCCCAGGCCGACGTGCCTGTAACCCTTCCCTAGGATCATCGGGGATCTCCAGTGGACCTCTGACAGCTAGCACGTGACGCAAAGTCCTGATTAGTCCACCTCTGACTGACAGAATCCGAAGTGAATGACAAAAGCCAAAGTAACTGACAAAATGCAGAGGGACTGCAGTTGCTAATCCGCCGATAATACCAACAGACCGGATTTCTGTTGAAACCGCAATAAATGAAATTGCTGCAATGGAGGTGTAAATTGTTCAGCATATTAGTTCAATGCTAGCATACACTAAACGAGCATTGCATTAAGTTGGCAAACTGATACAAAGCATGAGTGAATAATAGGAAATCGTATAGAGAAAACAAACAAATGGTAATGTAGAGCGTGCGAGCTAGTTAGTGCGATGCTAGAAACAATGATTTTGATTTCCCAATACGTAGGTCGACTCGGACCTGCAATGTGAAATTTGGGCAAAAGTGTCGCGCGAAGGCGGCGAAACGCCGCTAGCAGTAACAGGCGAAGAAACTGTTGGTCTAATACGCGTTGATAAGTGTTGAAATATATTTATATATATTCTTCATGCAATGCAGAGTGTAGCACATTTATTTGCTGCAGGTGATGCACCATGCTTCTCCTTGCTATATCTTGTACTCATCTTTCTTAGTCAAACCTCTTTTCTTTGGCCAAAACATTTCTCTCGCTACTTTGAACACCCTAAACCCTAGCCATGGCTTCTTAGCCTAAGCTAGGTTTTTGACATGTTATTAGAGCTAGGTCCGACCTAGGACCTTTCGTTTCTCGTCGTCATGGCGCATACGTCGCGCTCGAACTGTTGCTTTCGTCGCAGCCCCCGTCGTGCGCTCATCACGACACTTAGCATGACGGCCGCGACGAATGCGACGGCGAACTCGTTTGCGGCCGTCGTTGAACGCCCCGGCGCCTCGCTTCTGTCAAACATTATATGTTTGTATTGCTCTAGCCTGTAGTGGGTGATACCTTAGGGGGTACACCTAGTTAGGGTTTCACATTTGTACTCCTGTTCCTCTTAGTCACAGCGATTCCAGTCTTGTAATCTTGACATGGTTTCAGAGCAGGTCCTTCCCTAGGACCGTTCTTAAGGGCCCACCTACCTACCTACATACCTATCAAGCGCCCCTAGTGCGCCTCCTATTGCGCCCCTAGTGCGCCTCCTATTGCGCCCCTAGTGCGCCATCTTTTTTTTTTACCGCGCGCGCGCGGCCTATTTCGTGCGCGCGACCAGCCAGCAGCCCGCGCGCGGCCATTTTTCGCGCGCGCCTAGCTAGCCGCCAGCGCGCGCGGTTCTTTTTCTTCGCGCGCGGCCCGTCGCGCTGCCCGCGCGCCTTGTGTGCTGCGCTCGACCCCCCGCGCCTTCGTCGCCGCGGTCGGGCCTGCAGCAACAGCCGCGGCAGAGACTGCAGTCGCGGCCGTCGCAACTGCTGCAGCAGCCGCCGCCGCCTCTCCTGCCGCGGCCGCCGCTGCATCTACAGCAGCAGCAGCTGCCGCATCATCTACAGCAGCGGCCGCCGCCGCATCTACGGCAGCAGCAGCCGCCGCAATCTACAGCAGCGGCCGCCGCAGCTACAGCAGCATCAGCCGCCGCTGCCTCTGCAGCAGCAGCCGCCGCCGACCCAGCAGCAGCAGCCGCCGCCGATCCTGCAGCAGCCGCAACCGCCGAGTCTACTCCATCGGCCGCCGCCGGCCCTGCAGTCCCTACTGTAGCCGAACCTGCAGCAACTGCCGCCGCTGTCGCGACTGCCCCGGCCCTGCCTTGCCCTGCTGCTACTGTCACTGCCACGTTTATTACTTACTTTTCCTCCTCCTGCTACCATGGCTACTGCTCCTGTTCTAGCCTTCGACGCTGAGGGCCGCCCAGTGAAATTTGACACCTGGCTCGATGATCTGCACCTTTTCCTACAGCTCACTGCCAAGGAAGACATTTCACTGTACGACCACGCCCTAGGCCATGCTACTGCCCCTGACTCCTCTGCTGCTAGCACACTGCGCTCCCAGTGGCAGACCCGCGACGCACACGCTCGCTTTGCTATCCGCAACTCCCTGCCGCTAGATGAGCGCGAGCACTTCGGCCAGTGCAAGACTGCTAAGGAACTGTACACAGCCGTAGTTGCTCGCTACTCCTCGCCTGCGTCTGCCACCCTAGGCCGCCTCTCCCTGCCCTACCTGTTCCCCGACCTGGCCTCCTTTCACACTGTCGCTGATCTCATCACCCACCTCAAGACTAGTGAGGCCCGTTTTCGCGCTGCTATGCCTGCCGAGTTCCTTGCTAGCAACCCCCCCCCGCTCTGGCTCACCCTCTACCACATTGTCACCCGCCTCCCTGACTCTCTGCGCACAGTCAGGGACTCCTTTCTAGCTCGCTCCCCTACTGAGCTCACCATTGCCCTCCTCGAGAAGGACCTACTTGCAGCTGAGGCGAGCATCGTCGCCGT